GAGGGTTGCGATCCTGTTGCCGGTCCCGGTCCGGTACGGGCGCGACACTGAGGGTTGCGATCCGTTGCCGGATATGAAAAAAGAAAAAAAAAAAAAAAAGAAAAAAAAAAAAAAAAGATCAATAAATCAGTATCTGCTTACAAAGATAATTTAGGTTAAATCTTAGATCCCATTACCTTATTTCAATGGACAAAATGCAAACTGACTTGGTAAGCTTAAGAGCTGTCGAATAAAATATTATGAAAATGATTCTGAAAATAATTGCCTTTCTTTTGGCCATTGAAATTTTTGTGAAGTGACTTGCTGTTATATCATAGTAAACAAATGTACTTTACAGATACTGTATAATTTAATCCTAACACCTTTTTGAGATAGGTTACCATATGCATTTTACAGGCAGAGGAACTAGGGCTCTGAGAGGTTAATTTGCCCAAGTATACGTATTAATGAGTAGCAAGTCCTTTTTGACACTGAAGGAAATGTTCAAACATTTAGGATAAGGGCTTATATAAGCCATTAACATTTCTATTCGGGAAAGGGCTATAATATTCTGAACTGTTAACTTATTCAGGGCATAACCAATAGTCTGGAAAATACTTACTCTTCGCTAAGGAAATCAAAGGCTTTAGACTTATCCCCAGGGAGCTGAGATAAGGTGCTACTTCTTTTCTTGACAGAAGGAGTAACATGAGAGGTGGGTGCATTGTACTTCAGGTTAACAGGTGGTTCAGGCTTCTTAGCTGTATTACTTGAGGAGCTGAAAAGTCGGCTGAAACTAAAAAGAAAAAAATGTGTCTATGTGTATGTATCATATGCACTGTGAAGACCAACCCATGATATTCCACAAACTTTTACACTCAAGAAAATTCCATAGTGCTTTAACAAGGCAATGAGTTAGAAACTGGCAAAGACAGTTTTTGTATTGACATGCTACAGCCTTAGCAATAACTCACAGCCAAGCTCAGACATTCAGGGAAGAGAAACTACTACTTAGAATGGCAGATGCCTGATCTTTAATTAGCAATTTCTATAATGAAAGGAAGAAGCTCTTGAGTACAGGGAACTTCTCCTGATGAATAAATAAAATAGAATGGTTCCTTTAGCTAGTTCCTATTTGGTGCAATGTAAGAGTGGTTGTTAAACAGCAAGGTTATGGCTGCATGATTTGAAAAGAAGCTTAGTATACTAGTTCTGAAAAGTCTATTATAAAAAGTACTAAAACAGATTTTACTATGTTAACACACATCATTTATATAATTTCTGATTAAGATCAATTTAAATAACTACTTTCACTTCCATTTTTAAAAAAATTTGACAGTTCTATTAAATAGCAGATTCACCAAAAAAGGATAAGTTTTAGCCACATAAGCACACACACAGCACTTCTGGCACAAACATAATTCAAGTCCAACACATACACATACTACTCAAACCCCACAAACACTAAATCTCTCATGTTCACTTTGTAAAGTTCCTTACAATCACACAACCAGTGAGTCAGTAACTTATTTGATGGGGATCTAGGTAATAATCAACTACAAAAATAATTCCCCATTATTTTATTTAATTCAGCAGAGGATTCCACCAAATACATAACCGACATAATGCAGCTTACGATAGCATATTTTTTTCCTTAAGAACAGCCTTACCGAGTTGGCACACTATATATCAAAAAGAAAAAGTTCAGTTTAGTTATTTATCCCCAATTAAAAAAAAAAAGAAAAGAAAATGGACACAAAATAATTCTTGAAAATAAATTTTGACTGTAATATCTTGTCTCAAAATGCTATCTGATGTCCTTACTTGTTTTTAGATACTTACAACTGCCAAATGCTTGACCTTTTTTTTTCCTGCATGGCTGGATTTTCTCGTGATGCCCTACATTAAAGAGAAAGAAAAAAGAAATGTGCTATCAGTGAGATGTTCTAGCTTTCTGTCTGAAAAATAAGGGACCCAAAAAGTTCATGCAATACTCAGAAGAGAGTTAACAATTAAATTCAGTAAGCTGAATTTGATCTACTATGCATCAGTCAGTCTACTAAAGCTAATACTACTGAGATAAATAAAATACCATCCCTCCCTTAAAAAGCTCAGTCTACTGATAGCAGATTATTACCTGTGCTGGACAGACCACCATGCTTGGATGTTAATACTTAAAAATTTCTATTGAAAAGATATCTTCTAACTCTCCCTTTTATCAAAATATTGCCTTATAAATGTTCATCAAAATATTGCCTTATAAATCTTTACATAAAGGTCTCTAGTATCTATATTTTTGGCTCTCACAAAATAGCATGTATCTTCACTGTTCTGATGGGTCATTTTTCACAGGACTAAAACTTTTCCATCACTGAAAGAATGACCAGGGAAAAGAAGAGGAAAAACAGAATTGACAGGTAATTTAACAAAATTTCAGAAAGCAAGACATTTCAGATTTCCAGATTGACTTGGTATGGCGTAAGAGTTCTGCCATCACTTTTCAGAGCTGCCATTTCACTTTTTTTTTTCCCTAAGGACTAAATTAAAAACATCTTTTGGGGCCGGCCCGGTGGTGCACTGGAGAGTGCGCCGCTTGGGAGCGTGGCGGCGCTCCCACCGAGGGTTCGGATCCCATGTGGAGACCGGTTCCTGCTCACTGGCTGAGCGCGGTGCGGGTGCAACACCGAGGGTTGCGATCCCGTTACCGGTCAGTAAAAAAAAAAAAGACAAAAAGGAAAAAAAAAAATCTTTTGATTCAATGAACAAGTTAAAAAAAGTAAGCTACTATTTCCTTTCACTTGCTGACTACCATTTAGCTGCTAGTTAAAAATACCAATGAAAATTTGGCCGGTTAGCTGAATTGGTTAGAACATGATATTGTAATACCAGTGTCAAGAGTCTGGATCCCATATTGGCCAGCTGCCAAAAAAAAAAACCAATGAAAAGTGGGGACTGCCTATATACCTTCAATTTTTAAAATTTATTCATTATTTATTTAATATCCATTGAGTGCTGCAGTTAGTAGGTTAGTTTCCCTGTCCAATAAATAAAGGTTACATTATTGATCTCCTTCCTTCTCAGCAGCTATAAGCAATTACAATTATAGCAAATTGCAAAGTGTTTATACAAAATACTTTGTTCTAGTATGACATCGGTAAAGGACACATAAACTGTTAAATTACTGATATAATCATAAGGAAGTAGAAGTTGGAGGTTAGAACATATGTTCACAAACTTAAAAACAAGGGCCGAGCCCGTGGCGCACTCAGGAGGGTGTGGCGCTGGGAGCGCGGAAGCGCTCCCACCGCGGGTTCGGATCCTATATAGGGATGACCAGTGCGCTCACAGCGCTCACTGGCTGAGTGCGGTGCGGCCGGTCTCAAAAAAGGACAAAGAAAAAAAAAAAAGTGTTAATGTGTACTGTTATTGGTAAATCTGATGTGACAATCCAAGCTCAAAAATATGGGTAAATTAGGCAGCAACTAATTTATAAACTTTTCATGAGCTCTTTCTAAATTAAAATAAGGAATACTGTTACTGAGAATATGACCATTAGATGGCAGCATTAGGTGAGATTTAAGATTCAATTTACTGAAAGATGTTGATGGAAGGTACATTTGCGTAAATAGTCAGAAAGGGGGAAAAAAACCAAGCAAGAGTACTTCACAAGGAGACACAATAAAAATAATTTATTTTCCTGTGTGTTGCATATAAAATTTTGATCTTTTCATGAAATTATTGTAAAAGTGGTATTGATTTCCATATTCTTTTTGAAAAATGACTGTCATTCCTAAATATAACAATTGTCTTTTACAGGTCACGGCAACATCCTCCAAGATCCCTTACTGGTTAAAAACATACCCAGTTTGATCACGTTCAGTTACTAATTCCAAATGCTACTTTAGAAAATCTCTCCTAATAGAGAAAGGAGCTTGAACCCTCAAGACAGGACTCTAGTTCTGAATGACGGTATATTCAAACTTAGGAAATGATACCAGGAAAACACCAGAGTACTTCTCATACAAACCGAATCATTTCTGTCCATCGAACAGCTTCTTGAAGCTCCATCAGTCTCTCTTTGTACTGGTTTCTCTCCATGAGAACACGGGCCATTTCTACTCTAGTAAACCGCTTCCTCTGGGCTGTGGGAATGTCACTCTATAATGACAAGACAATGACAGATCACTCTGGGAGCCTATATGTGTTCTGGAGTTAATCTCAGACTTAAGGAAAATCTTTAAACTTTTAAATATTCCTTAAGTTCTAATCTCACAGGTCGCTTTAAGGAAAATGACCTTATAAAAATAAAACCAACAGAGATTTAAATAATTACTTATGACTAAAAAATAAGAGGCAGGCAATTTAATTTCTGAGTATAAATACAGATATTCAAACATACTACAAAGGAATTACAATGAATAGTGCAGATTTTGAATGAACACCAAAAAAGTTAACTTATCTACACAGATTTAATATGCTCTTAAGCAGAGGTAAGTTTCACCTGAAAATGTTGCTCGAACATTATTTTATTTTATTTTACTTTTTGTTCTCTTATCTAATTGCATTGGTTGGTACTTCCAGTACTCTGTTGAATAGAAGTGGTGAAAGTAGGCATCCTTTGTCTTATTCCTGACTTAAGAGAGAGAGCTTTCAGCTTTACCCCATTCAGTACGATGTTAGCTATAAATTTACAATATATGGTTTTTATTGTATTGAGGTACGTAATTTCAATACATTGTTTGTTAAAAGTTTTTAAAAATTTTTACTAGCATATTCATTGTTACAAATCATACTTATTCTTTATGCGCCTTATCCAATCTCTCCCCTCCCCCCTCCCCCTCTAATAAGCATAGAATTGTGCTCTCCATCTGACAGGTTGACTGTTCCTCTGTTGGTTTGTTGCCTCGGTGATCTGTCCAGTACTGAGACGGGTGTGATCAAGTCCTCCCCTATTATCATAAATTAGATGCTTCTTCTAATACTTTGGAGTGTTGTTTGTGGAGAGAGAGGGCCTCTTCTTTTTTTTAAATTTTTTATTTTTGGTTTCTGGTGCTCCCCTCCCCCCCCCCCTCTAATAACCATAGATTTGTTCTCTCCATCTGACAGATTAACTGTTCCTCTGTTGGTTTGTTGCCTAGATGATCTGTCCAGTACTGAGACAGGTGTGATCAAGTCCTCCCCTATTATTGTAAATCAGGTGCTTCTATCATTATTTTAAATTAATGTTCCATAACAATTATCATTCAGAAAATAGTTACAAGTTCATTCCAGAAGAGGTTTATCTCAAACTACCAATCCATATTCACACCCAAGGCCAGCATAAGGTGTAAACTTATTGCCTGGTTACCAAGGTAACCAACCATAGGAGTCACTAAAATACCAATAGAAATACAAGATGAAGACAACTGCATTAACTGGAATTATCCTTAGAGAGAATAAGGATGTCAGTGTGGAATAAGCATAGAGGTAAGACACCAAATGGGCCTGCTCAAGTCCTTCTGCTTCATTTCCTTCTGCTGCTGATTTCTAACTATCTTCTGGGGAGGAAGGTAGGCTTTTATTTTGCTGAATGGAGTATGCATATTTTGGATCAAAGCTGAAGGGCCTGGGACAATAAGAAAGAGGCTGAGCATAGCCTCAGCAATTCTCCTCCTCTGTCCTTCCACCACAGAACACAGCCCTTCCTTAAAATAAAAGTTAAATAACAAATCATAAAGAACCTTGTGTTTGCAACACCACAATCCACCACTAGGTACATACCCCAGAAAAACTGTTGCTCCTACACACTAGACTTGTACTATAATGTTAACAACAACAGCATTGTTCATGGTAGTAAAAAGCTGAAAACAACCTAGATATTCATTAACAGGAAAACAGATATACAAATTGTAGAATATTCAAATAATGAGATATCATAAAGCAACGAACATGAACTACACCACTATACTATAACACAGGAATATCAAAAAACATACTACCAAGTAAAAGAAGCAAGTCTCTAAGACTAAACATAGTATGAAACACAAAAACAATGAAAACTAAACATACTTTGTAGGAATACATATATATGTAGTATCATAAGATTATTATTTAAGTTATGCAAATGATAAATACAGGACAGTGGTTTCCTCTGGAGGGAAGGAGCATGGGTCAATTTCAATGTTTGGTAATGTTCTGTTCATAGATTGGGTATTAAATTCATAACAGTAATTTATTATGATTCATAACTTATATGTTACATATATTTTTTGTATGTATCAAATAGTATATTAAAAACACAAAGAAACTGAAGTGGCACTAAATGATCATTCTGTCCAGGACACCAGATATCTCAAATCTGACCTTTGGCCTGCAAGCACCTGTTGTAAGAATGATAATCTAGCTACCAACAGAATTACCAGTATGCTATTAACATTGGAAACAGACACATATTTATTCTTTTGTATTTATGTATGTTGACAATATGGGCTAATTAGCTAGTACTAAACTTATAGACTTCATCTTTCTATGTTTAATACTATTCAACAATTTTTATTATAAAGTTTTCATATTTCTAAATCAAAAATTAAAACAAAACAAACAGTAACAAAAAAAAAATACAAAATGACCCAGTTGGTCCTTGAACATGCAAACACAGGTCAGAGCACACTGCATGTAGCTAGAAAGCTTAGCATCTGGATACCATGTGGAAGCAAGAGCTATCCTATTCATGGCCATAAACACATCTTCTGACTTTTACAAATCTTTATAATGCTATATTCAAAGCTTAATTAGCAACAGTTCCCCAAAATACCAAAATGTGGTAAGGGAAGAAAAAAAGTCCCAAATTATAAACCTACATCATCATCATCTTTTGCTTTCTGCCTTGCATCTTCAGCTTCTGCACGAGCTCTAGTGGGAAAACAAAACAAAACATGTTATTTGAATTGTGTTCATCTTTTCGAAAAATGAAAGAGTAGGTCAACAATTTTAACTACCACTAAAGGATTATTTTCCTTTTTCAAAACAGGGTACATAACTGCCTTCATTTAGGGGAACATTATCAAAGCACTGTTTTCAGGAAAAAAACAGGTATTAAATAAAACTGCGTGAATGAAAATAATGAATGTTTTTTATTTCCTTATTATCAAGATGAAAATGTTTGAACAGTTCTCTTTTCACGTCATGACAGACACAAAAAATGCTAGTATTTGGATAAAAGGCTGATAAATGGGGGTCCTGCTCACAGCACAGACAACTGGCTGGGGCACCTCACCCTGTTCCAGGAAGCTCTTGACCTTTCCTAGCCTAAGAGGGCTGAAGGCCTCAGTCTCAGGGTTACACCTATAACCCTTGGTGGCATACTGGCAAAGACAGTTTGGTTTAGAACAACACTGTCAAAACTTACTTCCTAAGCTCTTCCTCCAATTCTTTGTTCTTTTCCTCTAGCTTCAGTTTGGCTTGCTTCACAGCCTCCAATTCCCCTTGCAGCACATCTTTCTCGCAGGTCAGTTCATCCACTTTTGCTATTAAATCATTCTTCACTACGTTCAAAGCATTTCTAAGAAACACATATTTCAAGTGCATCATTACAAATAAATATTCTTTCCATCTTTCAGCATGTTTCTTTGTAGACTAAAGTAACTCTACAATCATAAAGCTGAATAACTGAGTACTTTAAGACACTACCTGATCTTGTCTGTGGATAAAGGCAAAAAGAACACAAAGCAATGGTCTAAGTTTTTACTCTTCCCATTTATCAAAGAATAAATGGATAAAGCAAGATGGACCACCAATTAATAAGTGAGAATTAAGTAAGATTAAACTTAAAAATAGCATTCATAGGGCTATAATAGTTAATAAGTTCTGAAAAGATGTTACCCAACCAATAAAGTAAAATTACTCCTTTAAGTTACCTTAATAATTAATGAGACAACAGTCTAAACTGGAAAGAAAATGAAGAAAAAAAACCCTAAGAAGCAGTTCCTTTGGGTATAGTGGGCGCAGAACCTCATTATAGCCGCATTCTGTCCTGGATAAACACAGATGTTCCAAGGTTGCTCTGACACAGCAAATTAACAAAAGGACCCAGCCTACTTTTCCACATGACTGAGGACCTACTCCATTAAACAAGACTTCAGTGTGCTTAAAGGCCTAAGACTCTAAGCTCTGAAGAGGCAGACTGAGTATAGGTCAAAACATTTGTGCGGAAATAAAAGAAACCCCCAAGAAGAGATAAGAAAATAGATAAATCTCACATCCAGAAGATTAAGAGAAAGGCACGGATACCTGCAGAGTGGAAAGGAAATGAAAATCTATGTTTCTTCAAACACAGGGCAATGAAACATATCCATCAGGGCAATGTAGGTCGCATTACCTATTTGCCTGTGTTTGTGGCAGGGGCGGGGCGAGTGGGTACATACACAAACAGAGAGGAGGAATGAAGTGGAGTAGGGAGACTGCGTTAGTGCTGTGTTAAATTGATGAAGTGTCATTGACTTGGACAAGAAAAAAATTTGGTATCTTGTTCCCTGTTGAAATTTTGTATATACTTACTTGGTTTCCAATAGTTGTGTATTTTCTAATATAAGATTCTCAACTTCACGACCCATTCCTATAAAACAAAAAAGGATAATAAAGACTTTGAAAATCAATTTATCAAAAATTATATAGATTTATAAAATAATAAGCTATAGTCACAAATTTTATATTATAAATTTTATCTGTCCTGTAGGAATCTTACTTTGTCTATAATTCATCTGACATATCTACTTGCATAGATTATAAAATTATAAATAATTATTCATCACGAAACAAAGCTAAAGATTTTGCTGGCCAATTCTTTGTATCTGGTAGTCTATATTCTTTCTCATAGATAATATTTCAAAAGGATCAAGACTTTTCTGCCAAATATTTTAACAAATAGCATTATTTAGGGGGGCAAATAGCATTAATATAGATCAGAAATTGTTCCCCAAAACACAGCTAATATTACAGACTTTTGCCTAAAAATTTGGTCTTATTAATAGAGAACAAGGCCAAAGAAAGACAGAACCCCAAGACAGATGAAACCTTACCAAAGAAATTATGGTCTTAAAGCCCATGCATTCCATGTAAAGCAAAAACAAAGAACAAGAAATGTTTTACATAAGAAACAGCATGAAAATAGATCATTAATCTATAAAATTTTATGCACGACATGAAAAACATTTGGAATCACAATGTTATGAGTTAATGCATAATGATGTGCAAAAGACAGAAATAAAGATGATTTCCTTCGTTCATAGGGATGCTCTCTGATATACCTAAAAAATGCTTTAGCAATTCTTTCTCAGAATAAAATTGAATATAATTAGATTAAAAACCTGAAATCAATACTGCAAAGTTTTCTTCAAAGTGCCACCTCTGAAACAATGATATTCAGTTGCCACTTTATAGGAATTTGTGTTTAATATTCTAATGAGTACTGTAAGATAGGTATGTAAGAACATTCAGTGCAAGATCTAATGGATAGTCTTTAGGGTGAAGAAAGAGATTTAATTTTGGTTCTCATGAGAAACTTGTAGAAATGAAGTAACACACTAGAGAATAATACTCAAAAAAACAAAGCAAAACAAAACAAAACACCCACCACTCACTCATCCCAAGAAATTGTGAGCCAATGTTGGAAAATCACATATTAATAGTAATATTTATAACTCAGGTAAACAGGAAGAAAATATTTCTAAAGGAAACTACATAAGGCAAAGGAGGTAACATGACTCTGTATTTTAAAAAAGTTAATATTCCAAATGATTTAAAAACTATTTAAAATAAACAAAACCAGACTAGGAAGACTAAAAATTCAGTGCTCGTATATGGACTAATATTTTGTCTGTATTAAAATTTCCTTGAAAATTCTCAAAGATCAGAGTACTTATGCGAGGAAGAATTAAATAGCAGAAACTGTAGCTTATTTAATCATTTCTCTACGTATTCTCCACAAACCCAAAAAAAGACAAACTAAAAAAGTTCCAACTCCACAATGACTTTTAGAAATACATTTTCTTTAAACACTGTTAACTTTTTACTAAAGCTATAGAGACAGAAAAAAATAGACTTTAGACTGGTTAGAAAAAGTTTATATAATAACTATGGTTGCTATAAATTCTCAAGCATTTAGATAAGCACAAAAGCTGAAAACATACGCAGGGCAAAAAAAAAAAAATATATGGTTGAGCAGAAAAAAATGACAAGAAAGCATTAAATGAGAACAGCAGCCAAGAACACCTAGCTTAAAAAGCAGTAATATTAATGTATTTAAAAGCATACACACCAGAATATTCCCCTGGGTAAGCAGCCCAAGAGAAAAATGAATGAGAATCTCAATTAGATTGTTTTCAGAAAGCAAGAACTAAACTCATTTATTTTAAAATGAGAGGAGACAAAGAAATTGAAAAGATGTAGAGAAACTATTAACTAAACACAATAAAGTATAAATATTATAAATAGAAAAAAATTAAAATTTGTACTATATGAGAAACATATCCTAAATATAGTTTCTAAAGTTTTCATTAAATTTACACATTCCCAAAGAAGAGTTCTCTTAAAATCTGGTGTACAAATTTAATACATAATCAATAGGATTATCTAAAATTTTCATTTTGAAATGTATCAATAAAGACTAACTCAGTATAACTATAAGAAAAATGTAACGAAGTGCCCTCATTTCTATTCAAGGCTTAAACAGCCTATTCAAGCATAAACTCAAGTATAATATAAATGAAAATTTTACCAATTAAAAACAAGCCTTTCTCATCAAGCCAGATAGGAAGGAAAAAAAAAAAAAAACAAGCAAAAAAACTGGTTGGCAGTTTTTAAAAATGAAGTCTTATGTGGATTTTAGCACCAATTCTCAAGCTAGGTCCAAAGACGGGCTTCAGAGTTATCTAGTAATCCCTTAAGAATGTATGCACCATTTTATCTAGTTCTGCATGTGCATTTTTCCAAAGGTATGCTGCTTTCTTACAAATTCTCCTGTAAAGAATTTTTAATTCCAAAAGATAAAGAATCGCAGATATAGAGGTGAAACAAAACTGTTAGAACTATTCAGTAATCCCATTCACTTAGTTGATGTGCTATTTGCTAAAGACAAAACAGTGAGTAAAAGACACAGTTGTCTTAGCACAATGAGCTTATAGTCTATCCAGGGAGACAGGTACATAAAAATAAGAATAAAATATGAAGAGGGCATAATAAAATGCAGTGCCAACTTTAGGTGTGTCAAATGTAAAGCTCTCCAAATCATCTAAGGAATGTCTAGTAGGCAGCTTGTAAACAATAGTCTGGGGATCTAAAAAAAGATCTGACATGGATTTAAAAACTTAGGAGTAATTTGCCATGAAAACCAAGAACAATGAGAGCAAATATGACTTCCTAACAAAGAATCAGGAATAGGATGGGAACACTGATATCTAAAAAATAAGTAAAGGAAACCGATCCTGCTAAGACAACTGAAAAGGAACAGACAGAGCAGGAAAGGATGCAGGCAAGTCTGATATCACAGAAACCCAGCAAAGACAATTTTAAAGACAATACAATTGAGAAGTCATGTTAATAACTGAGAAAGAACCACTTGGATATGGCAAACAAGAAAGTTGTTTCAGGAAAGGTGAGTGTGGGGAAGAATGCCAGATTATGATAGGATGAGGAGCAAGTAGCACTGGGGAAGTCTTGCCAAAGTAGCCACACTTTCAAGAAGTCTGTTTTGTTCACTGACATATCACAAGTATCTAGAATAGTTCCTGGCATATGTCTGACAACTCATTAATGTTGTTGCACAACATAACTAGAAGTGGGAGGAGAGTGAGTGATAGGTGGTAGGCAGTGAAGATATGGGGTCAGAAAGGGCAGTATATTTATCTTTAAATGGAAAAGCCCTGAACATGTTTACATTATAATGGGAAGAAGTTAGCAGCCATACTAAAGTTGAAAATAAATAAGATAATTAAGAGAAAGAAACTCTCAAGAATACGGTGTATGAATGTATGATTTCCAAGTTCTAGAAAGTGGCCATAGGGAGTAAGTGACTAAAATGAATGGAGAAAAGGGTCAACGAAAATAAGAAAGTCAAAGGATGAGACACCAATCAAGAAAAAGGACAAACTGTTGGGGTTATTCAGTCTGTTTCTTTTCTTCAAACCAAAGCATCATAATAAATAATCTATTAATTATACTTAATTTTCTGATTTCCAGAATATATTTAATTTAAAGACCACCATTATTTCTAAATCCTACATGGCTTAATTCTTTGTAAAAGAAGAAAGTTTTGGGGTCACCAACCTTAAAAATTATTACTCACTCCTAGATTATGAGGCAACAGAGTACACAAATTATATTCAAAAGCACTTTATTTCGATTGATACAAAGAGGCAGCATGAAGGAATTTGGGGGGATGATATACACTGATGCTGTTGGTGGTTACACAACTCTGCATTTGTAAAAACTTAACAAGTTGTACATCAAAAGAGTGAATGTTATTGAATGTAAATTTAAATACAAATTTAAACATTTTTAAGTTCTCCTTTCTAACATTTTTTTGCATCTGCCCTTCAATTTTGCCAGGAAGTCAGTTTCTTAAAACAACAAAATCTCAAAAGTAAATTTTTATGTATAATTTGATGTTAACTAAAATTAAAGTATAAATTTAAATGTAAAAATGGACTATTCTTTAAGACTAGCCCTCCTTGAGAAATGCAATTCATTCAGTTTCTTCCAGTGCTTGAACTTTAAAGGTGGGAGTCTCTTTATATACTTGTATACTTACGTAGTTATATTTACATATTTCAATCTCTCTTACTAGAGAGATGTTTAGATAAAACTTGTGTTTCTTTTTAAAAATAGTTCACATCAAGAACATAATTCGCAATCAATGAATTTAATGTCAATTAATGCAAGCAATATAACTGTAGTCTATATTCACAAGAATTGACAAGCAGCACCTTTTAAGAAGTGTAGTGTGTATTGCAATTACACTAATAGATACAAAATTTTTTTGTAGCCTGGTATCTATTCCAAGGCATAGGTTTTTAATTCTATATAGTTTTCAATTTCTGTAAGGTCTTAAGTTTTTTTTTTTTTTTTCCTTTTTGTCTTTTTTCGTGTCCGGCAACGGACCGCAACCCTCAGTGTCGTGCCCGTACCAGACCGGGACCGGCAACGGGATCGCAACCCTCGGTGCTGCGCCCGTCCCTCGCTCAGCCAGTGAGTGGGAACCGGTCTGTATGAGGGATCCGAACCCTCGGCGGGAGCGCCACCACGCTCCCAAGCGGCGCACTGTAGCAGTGCGCCACCGGGCCGGCCCTGTAAGGTCTTAAGTTTTAAGAAGGGCACACCAAAGCTAATTTACCTAAGTCAGAATCATTTAAGTGTTGCTGAGAAACACCTAGAGATCACCTAGAGCAGGGGTTGGCAAACTTTTTCTGTAAAGGGCCAGATGGTAAATATTTTAGACTTTTTGAGCCATATGATCTTGTTGCAAACTACTTAACTCTGCCATTGTGGGGCAAAAACAACCATAGACAACAAGTAAACAAATGAGGGTGGTTGTGTTCCAATAAAACTTTATTTACTATATACACAGGATAATCAGCTGGATTTAGCCCTTTAGCTGCACTTTGCTGGATCCTTGAACTAGAGTCCAGCTCCTTCATTTTACACACAAAGAAAATAAGATCCAAAATGATTAGGCTATTTGGCAAAGGTCACCAGATAAATAGTGGAAGAATCAAATGCAGTATTCTTTTTAAATCACATGTTCTTCAACAACACAAACTTTAAAATAATTACATTTCCCACTGAGCTAAAACATAATAGTCAGTGAAAGCTCAGAAAAATCAAGTGTTATAATTTCTTATTTAATTAAGACCAAGATAATTTAATGAAATTTATTTAAGCCAGGAACTAACGATCCATCAATCCACACATCTACACATACACACACACCTCTATATGTGTGTGTGTGTGTGTGTGTGTGTGTGTGTGTGTGTGTGTGTGTGTGTGTGTGTGTGTGTGTGTGTGTGTGTACACACACACACACACATATCAATCATTGTTCCTTACTTGTAATATCTGTTCTTGGAATATAGCAGAAGTTCAATAAATTGTGTTACATAAATTCAAACTACATAAATGCAACTTAATTTCAGGTATATCCATAGGCAAAGATGTTTTCACCTAAAACTTACATGATGTCAAATAATATGTTCCCAATAATTACCTAAAAGTGCAATAACCCTTACCACCAGGCCCTTGGGAACATTTTAAAGGAATTTTCGATTAAAACATTTAAAAAATCTATTTTTAAAACAATACGATACTTCCTCAGATGAGCTATCATACCTAGTAAATCTGCTCCTTCATCCACATCTCCAATTAGGCCTGAGCCAGCTGAAGACAGTTCTTCAAAGAGAGATTCTGTATTGCGATCAAAAGCTTTGTTCTCTATGCCTTTTGTGGGAGTGCTATGCAACAGAAACAACAAACCCAAATCAACAAATTACAAAGACTTTTTTGACAGTGTAAAACGAATACAATGGGCTAAGCTACATAGGAATCTCTTCCCTATAATTTACATTTACTATAAAACATAATTTAAAAATATTTCTCAGAGGTTTCCTAAGACATTCAAACTAAACTCCATAGAGATAACCAGTGAAGAAATAACGGAACATTTTCGTTGTGAGATCCCAGCAAACACAAATAGTAATGGCAGCTACTCTGTTCTGTACCAGGCGGTGGTCTAAGTGTTTCACATAGACTACCTATTTAATCCTCACAACTACCCTACAAAGTAGGTGCTGCTGTTACCTCAGCAGATGAGGAAACTAAAGAAGTTAAGGAATCTGCCAAGATCACTTAACAAGTAAGTGAAAGAGGCAGGATTCAAACCCACAGAGTCTGGTCTCAGAATCCATGATCTTAATTACCATGTTACATGTTTAGTATAAATTAGCATGACTTTTTAATGTTTCTTTTAAGGACAATTGTTTTTTCTTTTAAGGACAATGTGTTTAAAATTTTAAATGCAAATACCCACTGACACAAGAATTCTATGCCAAAAAAATGTCCTACGAAAACCCTGTCACAAGAAGGCAATTATGTATGTAAAAGATGGTCAAAGAAGCATTTTTATAGTGGCAAAAAGTTGAAATGACCTAAGAATCATTAATAGGAGACAGGTGAAATAAGTTATGGATATAAGTATAAAGTTAAAATTTTTAACTTTATTGTTAAAAACATTAAAATAGAGCTTTAAAAACTAAAGAAACCCATTATACAAAGTTTTTATTTTTTTAAGGGCAAGTTGCGAAACAGTATATATTATAAGCCCTTTCTGCAGGGGTATGGAGGGAATGGGGAAGTGTGTATGTTTGTGTCCTAATGCTATATTAATAGAAAAAACTGTGCAAGATTTCCAGTTAAACACAGTAAATTGAATACAGTCATTTATCACCTAATAAATCAGAAACCTGACTAAAGTGACAGTTAAGAAATTTAAAAGCTATATACCTAAAGGACAAAGTGAATAGGAAAAAAAAAACTACAGTAGATGAAATGTGAACAACATTCTGTAAGATGGAAAACAGAAGTTGATTTAAACAGACCAGAGAAAGCTGAAACTTAAGCCATTGGGGTTTAGGATCCTTCCTAAATGTTAATATGCTGCCAGACCCCCTAAAAGACCCAGGATTTGAAGCTACCAGCAACTGTGGAGGTGAGCATGTGATGGGAAACATAAAACAGAAGATGGGATAAAAGACTGCACAAGAAGCAGTAGGAATCCTAGATGTAATCCTCCACAGCAGTGAGACCTCCCTTCTGTCAGCACAGCTCCATGAACAATTGAAGCTGAGTTTAAATGTCAGTATTATTTACTTAAGTATAAGCAAAACAGCCACAGAGCACCAGACATTTAAAGAAGGCCTCTATTATAAAAGAAAGAGCCCAGAACAAAGGGGATGTGACTCAGAAGGCACTAAGAGCAAAAGGAGAAAATGCAGGCAGCAGCAGCAACAAAAAAACAGGAACCCCCCCCCCCCCAGAACAAATACTATATCCATAAAACAATTTCAGGACAATATAAAAAGTAGCAATCCAAGAAAAAGAAAAAACTTAGATAAAAATCTGCCAGAAATCAGAACAAAAGTAGAAAAGATAGAAAAGGGGAAGAGAAAAGGAAGAAACAAAATAAAGAGAATTTCTCAGAATTGGGGTGTAAGAATTTTCTGATGAAAGGACTCACTTCAAATAAGGAGATTCAAAAGAAGACCTCTATACCAAGCACAGCATCATGAATTAAAAAAAAAAAAAAAAAAAGAATGGCAGTGGGGGGACGGGGGGACCACCCAGGGATAAAGTGAAGATCCTAAAAGCTTCCAGAGAGTATATACAAAGAAGCAAGAACCCAAAAGGTACCACCCTGAACTCAATGTGACAATGAGGAAATATCTTCACAACTCCAACCTATAAATCTGTATCTAGCCAAACTATCAAGCATGTCTTCAAATGGCATTTGTCACTGCCAGTTTTCAGTTCTCAAAAAATTAACTTCTCATTCACCCTTTGCCTTGTGAGCTGGTAAGAATATGCTCTGTCAAAACAAAGGCATAAATCAAGAAGAAGGATTACATGGTATCCAGGAAACAGAGGATTTAACAGAGGAGAGAGGTGAGAGAATTCCCGAGATGACAGTGCCGGTATATTCCAGAACCAGAGCAAATACAACAGTCTAGATTGGAGAATGAGAATAGAAGGCCATGGGAGAGAGTGCTCTAGGAAACAGACAGGTTTTGTGTTTGGTCATATTAAGGATTTTCACACTTAACAACTGCAGAGAGTCAGGTCTGTAGAAACTTAAGGAAGACAAATAAAACCACCCAAAGCTTTACTATTTCCAGAAAAACACAAAGTTGTAAAAGAAAGAATATGTAATTATAGTATATTCTCTGGCTAAGATATGATTGATATTTATACAGTTATAATGATATAAACAAGGAATATTAATTTAACAAAATTGAGATATAATTATACTGGGAGGATGAAAGAAAAGATGGTGGATTAAGGAGTTGTAGTCGGCATCACCTTCCACTACAGAAAGTCAACAGCTGTTTCAGTCAGGGTTCCCCATTTGATCCACAGAATACAGAAAATGATTCGAGTGACTATTTTCTCAGTTCTTCCAAGGAAAGCACATAGCCAGTAGTACCATTCTAGAAGCACAGGAGTAGAGCTAATTCATTATATACAAGGGATGCCTTAGGGCATGAGGACTTAATTATCAGAATCCCAGCTGAGAAAGGGAGGGACCAAGGAAGAGCAGCACAGGGCATGTTATTTACACACATGAAAACAAAAAGCATAAAAGAGAGCTAAGAAGTGATGGAGGTTTCCTCCTAGGAGTGGTAATGAGGGGTCAATAGGGGCAAGGGGCCACTATTACCCTTCATACTTGTATTACCATTTGACTTTAAAACTGCATACATTCATTAGTCTAATAAGAAAAAAATTTAAATTTTTAAAAAGAGGTTCAGAATGACAAAAGTACACAAATTTAATAAGCAGATGCATCTCCTAGGCTTATGAGAGGGTGAATAAGAAACAAATTTCACTTGCTTCTCTCTGCATTGTTTACATTTTTAAATAAACAATAAAGGGAAAAATATTTTAACAGGTCACAGACTTTGAAATCATAGTCCTAGATGTGAATCCCAGCTCCACCTCTTGCTAGTTTGATAATCTTGGACAAGTTACTATATGTTTCTGAGTGTCATCTGTAAAATGGGGATGAAGACATCTACTTCATAAGGTTGTAGCTAAAATCAAATTTTACAGGGCCAGCCCATGGCTCACTTGGGAGAGTGTGGTACTAATAACACCAGGGCCACAGGTTCGGATCCCTATATAGGAATGGCCGGTTAGCTCACTTGGGAGAGCGTGGTGCTGACAACACCAAGTCAAGGGTTAAGATCCCCTTACCGGTCATCTTTTAAAAAAATTTAAAAAATTTTTTTAAAAAATCAAATTTTAGGGCCGGCCCGGTGGCGCACTGCTGTAGTGCGCCGCTTGGGAAGCGCGGCTGCGCTCCCGCCGAGGGTTCGGATCCCACATACAGACCGGTTCCCGCTCACTGGCTGAGCAAGGCGCAGGAGCAACACGGAGGGTTGCGATCCCGTGGCCGGTCCCGGTCCGGTACGGGGGCAACACTGAGGTTTGCAATCCGTTGCCGGACACGGAAAAAAACAAAAAAAAAAAAAAAAAAATCAAATTTTACAAAATAATAATAACAATAACAATAATATTACTTAACATTTACTGAATGGGGCACTTTGCCAATGATTTAACATATATTGATTCATTTAATCCTCACAACCATCTGAGGTACTATCATAATCCTCTTTTACACATGAGGAAATGTAACTAAGATTCAAATTTGAAGTAGTCCTTGAACCCACAGTCTTGCTTTTAATCACTTCAGCATACTGCACGATGCTCAGCAGAGATCAATAAATGGCATGTATTCTTATGGTCATTAATTAATTAAAGGATAAAATTTATGGAAGAAATTCAAAGAGAGGCAGTAGCTCCAGTCTGACTTTCTTGAACCACAACATATTTCTGATAATCTTGCTTAAGATGATACCTAACCATTTTCTTCCCAGCACTAAACAGCCATTTCATGTAAAATGACGCTAAAATGAGACTAGTATCTTCCAATACTGAGATCATTACAATTTTGATAGGACAAGCACATTCTCTTCTTCCTGATCTGGGGGAAGAAACAAAGCTTGCTCAAATTGTTACTTCCCTCACTCCTGCTTGTTTCCTCAAGTTACAGAAACTATGGGATACTTCTTGGCTGTCTTTTTTTCCCCATCTGCTATGGTCTGAATGTGTCCTCTCCAAAATTCAATTATTGCCAATGTGATAGTATTAAGAGTTAGGGCCTTTAAGAAGTGATTAGGCCATAAGAGCTCCTCCATCGAGAGTGGGATTAAGGTCCTTAAAAAAGAGGCTTCATGCAGTGTTCAGCTAGCTTGCCCTTCTACCTTGTGACAACACAGCATTCCTCCCTACCAGAAGATGCAGCATCAAGGTGCCATCTTGGAAGCACAGTAGCCCTCATCAGACAAGAGAACCTGCCAGTGCCTTGATCTTGGACTTCCTAGTCTCCAGAACTGTGAGAAAATAATTTTCTGTTCTTATCAATTACCTAGTCTCAGATATTTTGTTAAGCACAAAAAGGACTAAGACACTATCCTTCCAAATTCTCCTGATTCCTGATGCTGCAAAGGTAACATTTCATTTCACAGAAAATTTAAACTGCATACAATGTCCAGTTTTAAAAATAGCAATTGGGATATAACACCAACATTCTTGAGCAAAAAATTTTAATTCATTTTGTATGGTCAGACACCAGAGAACAGAGTGCTTACTGGAGTGGGGAAAAGGAAAGATAAGCTGTCTTAATTTGACATTTACAGTACCTTGAACCTTTATATCCACTGAGATCTTTGTCCATATCCAACTCAGGAGTGGATTCAATGATTGCTTGAACTTCTGACTTCTCTTCATTTTCAGCAGAACCTAAAGAAAGAACGTCACGAAATAAACAGTACATATATTACATAGTGCCCCTAATACAAAAAATCTTGTTTTTACGGTTGTAAACATATCATTTGAACATTAAAAAAATGTAAGAGTGGGTACTAGGAAACATAGGGTTAGACAATATGTCATGTATCCAGTTAGCATTCAATATCAGAAACTAATAAGTAATCAGGGAAAGTTCTCATTTGTGTTTCTTGGGACACACAGTGCAATGTATCCAAGGCCCTGCTTTCATTCCTACTTAAGCGGTGGAATATAAAGACACTAAAGACAAAGACTAATAAACCTAAAGTAGTGAACAGAAATGGACCGTCTTCCTGCTTTTCAGGCTCTCTAAGCTCTCAGTCCCCAACATTCTTCTCCCAAAATATTATTTAATCATTACCTCTTTTAAGCTTATTCAAAATTGAACAAAATTAATTATCTACCTATTTTATAAATCTAAAGCAGGCAACACCCCAAAGACATATTTTCTCATACCCCCATCATCTGGGCTTACTGAATATTTTGCTAGTAAGTAAAGAACAAGGGTCACTTACCAGTAGATACATTTCTAGTTTCTTGAGCTACCTGTACTTCAATGTGCTTGCTTATCTCTGACTTATGTGGTGTATCTGTAACTTTCTCAAATCCTTCATTATCTTCCTTTAAGGGAGTATCAATAGGAATTGCTGCCACATCTGAATTAGCTGTTGATGCTGGAGTGGTAGCTTTAGATCCACATTGGCTAACATCAGAAAGTTCATCCTACAAATGAAAATAATTAAGAAGAAAATTTTAACCAAGCAATTTATTCTAAAGCACTCTAAAAATGGGTTAAGAAATAAACTTGCCCAGAAAAAGTTCTATTTTAAAAAAGGCAATATAATCTCTCTAAACTACTTGCAAATAATTGGGAAATATTTAAGCAAATAATATTTTTCCAGACATATATGAGGTCTTTCTAAACAGAAAATTTGAAAACAAAAGTTTGGAGGTATTATACATTAATGTCAACATCAGTTTTTAATGGAAGTTGCAATACTGTACAATCATTTGATAATAAAGACCTACTTTAAAACACTTAGAGCACATACTCTGTAGTAGCTACTCTAAAATAGCAGTAAAACAGCCAGATTCTTAATTTCAGGATAATTATGTAAAGTGTGGTCTTATAACATCCTGCATTCAAATCATTTGAAGTAACTGTTAAATTGGCAGATTATAAGTCCAGACCCAGACTTAATGCACCAAACTCTGGTTAGTGAGGTCAGATGATCTGCATTTTCACAAGCAACCCAGGTGATTCATATACTCAAAATTTGATAACTACTATTCTAGGGTCTACAGATCAGCTTCAAGAGGTACACGCACAAATTGCATGCAAAAATATGTGTGTGATGCATTTTCCTGGGAAAAGAATCTACAGCTTTTATCAGGTTTTCAAAGGGGTTTGTGACTCCAAAATAATTAAAAACAATTATCCAATGGCTACCAAAAATGAGGCAGTTCTTTTACAGCAAAGTACCTAGGTCTTAAGAGAACCTGACAAAAAGTTTAGTACTCCTACTGCTACTACTAAATAATAAGGATTAGGGTAAATTCAATGAATTTACCATTCACTAAATATATGATTTTGGGTAAGTTATGCATTCTTTCTACACTATGTTTTCTCATCTACTTCATAGAATTACTATAAATTATTCTATACAACGGCTTGGCAATGTGTTTCATGCATACTAAGTATTTAAAATGTTAGCCATTATTACAATGTATAACAGGAATTATAATTCCCTTTATCCCTTCGACAGTTCCCCTACAATCTTCATCCCTAGCCCAGGCTCTTTTTTTAAAGGATGAGAAACATAGAAAGGTAAAGAATTTGAATGGCAGACGCAGCGTGGAGTTACTTTTTAAGACTTTGGAATATCTTAGCTCCACATGGATAAAATCCAAGTATCTGCTGAAAACCTTCATTTCAGTAAATTCTTGATATTGTCAACTTTTGATTGACAGTTTATACTGTACTTGCACTTTATATTGTACAGTTTATACTGTATAATAATTGGTCAGCTACTGATTGCATTATTGCTCATCATCATTATAAGAAACGCATATATCCATGGCAGACAATGATCCATTTACCAAAACTGAATCTCTTCTGAGATTCTGAATCTATCAAAAGAAAAATAAGGGCCGGCCCGGTGGCACACTGGAGAGTGCGCTGCTTGGGAGTGCGGCGGCGCTCCCGCCGAGGGTTCGGATCCCATGTGGAGACCGGTTCCCGCTCACTGGCTGAGCGCAGTGCGGGCGCAACACCGAGGGTTGCAATCCTGTTGCCGGTCCCCGGTGCAGGCGCAACACCGAGGGTTGCGATCCCGTTACCGGTCAGTAAAAAAGACAAAAAGGAATAAAAAATAAAAAGAAAATGGTATGTCCATGTTAGAGTACAATACTTACTCAAAATAAATTTTTAATAATGTAGGAAAATGTTTATATGTTAAATTGAAAAACATGTACACTTTTAAAGGAATAATCAAAGGTGTATATGTGCTGCCATTTAAAACAGCAAAAAATTGCAAACAATCAAATTCATAGCAGCAAAGTTTAGAATGGTGGTTGTCAGGGGCTGGGGGGTCGGGGAAATGGAGAGAAACCAATCAACAGGCATAAAGTTTCAGTCAAGCAAGATGTGTAAGCTCTAGAGATCTGCTGTACAACACTGTACCTATAGTCAATAATAACATAATGTACTCTTAACATTTTAAGAGGGTATTTCTCATGCTGTTTGTGGTGGATTGAATTGTGTCTTCCCAAAGTTTAATGTGTTGGAGGCTTGGTCCCCACTATGACAGTGTTAAGAGGGTGGGAAATCCTATCTATTGTGGTCACTGAGAGGTGGGGCCTTGAAGAAGTGATTAGATTGTGAGGACCCTGCCATACTGAATGGTTTAATGGTGGTCATGGGTGTGGTTCTGAGGGCTTTAAAAGAAGAGCACATGAGGAATTCTCTCTCTCTGCTCTACCATTCTGCTATGTGAGACCCCTGAATCAATGTCACCACCAATAAGGCCTTCACCAGATATGTTCCCTGAATTTTGGACTTCCCAACCTCTGAAAGTGTAAGCAATAAATATTGTTTCTTTACCCAGTTGCAGGTATTTTGTTGTAAACAACAAAAATGGACTAATATAGTGTTCTTACCACAATAAAATATAAAAATAAAAAATTGCAAACAACTTTAATGCTCCCAAAAAGGCAATTAAGCAAATTATGGTATGTCCATACAACACAACATTACACAGCACTTAAAAAACTGTGTTGTAGAAGAATATTTACTGAGATGGAAAATATTCACAATATTTTGCAAAGAGAGTGGGGATTAAAATGGTTTTATGCAGTTTAATAAATTAAAAATACATGAGAGTACCTCAAAAAGTTCATGAAAAAATAGAATTAAAATATAATAGAAATCTTCCAATTAACTTTTTGAAGTACCTCATATATACAGGTTGAGCATCCCTAATCCAAGAATCCAAAATCCAAAATGCTTCAAAATCTGCAACTTTTTGAGCACCAAATAATGCTCAAAGGAAATGCTCATTGGAGCATTTCAAATTTTGGACTGTCAGATTAGGGATGCTCAGCCACCAAATATAATGCAAATAATTCAAAATCCAAAAAAAATTCAAAATCCGAAACACTTCTGGTCTGAAGCATTTCAGATAAGGGATACTCAACCTGTAACAGAATATAAAATGATATATAAAGTGTGATCCCAAGGTTTTTAAAAAAGCATATAAAGTGACTAAATATAGCAAATAAAAATTTTCCTTGTTTATAATACTTTATTATTTTTTCCACATTTTTAAACAATAGGTGTGTGCTACCTTTATGATCAGGGAAAAAAGTTCTAAACAAATATGAATTATATAACTAGATGAAATTTTCTTTCAATTTAGGAGAAAGCTTTGAGAAAATGAAAACCACCCATAGAATTTATGAATTGGGGGCTATCCATTCATTAATGCCTTGAGTTTAAGATAACTTTATCTGTCATCTGAAATACAATTTTAACCATATGCTAATAAAATTAGCTGAACTGCACAGCGAATTATTTTATTCTGTGCATCTCAAATATTGGGCTGCTTTCCATTGAGAAGGAAGGCAAACGAAAGAAATAAATAGCTCAATTCTTCAATACCTCCCTCCCCTCCCCCCATAAAATTAAAAGATACAACTGCTGGCTATTCCCTTGGAGTTAGTGACTGATAAAATATCTGAAAAGAATCTACTAAGTCAAGCAAATTAGCTTGTTTTGGAGATAAGTCAGAAAAACCGACAGTAATGATTTTGGAGCCAAGGAGGCCTGCAGTGAAGACAAGCCCCTGAGCACCCCTCTCTCTGTCTTTGCTTTGATGTGCACTCGATTGAAAAATAAAAGTGGTATTATTTTGGTTAATCTGGCAGCCTAGCTTATTCATATTTATGTTATGATATATAGGAATTCCCATTCTTTAAAGGTTTAGAATATGAGGGTACTTAAAAAAAGTTTGTGGAAAAATATAATTAAAAGATAATGCAAATCTTCCCATGAACTTTTTGAAGTACCCTCATATAAAACATATTTAAAAATATAAAATAGTCCATGCTCCTGACAAACAGTACTCATGAATGCACTTAAACCTAGCAAGACTGTGGATTAAGGAAGCACTAGAGAATATCAAGTTCATCTACACTGAGAAAATGATATGCCTTTTAAGCTATTTGAAAAATAAATAATTTGAGGTCAATCTTGGACTTGTCATTTACCTCCCAAATAAAAGTCAGATAAAGAAATTTTTTCTTCTTCCTCTTTATCATTCCAGCCACCCTCTCTCCCCTCAAAAAGCCTGGATATTTTCACCTTAGAAAAATTTTTACTTAATAATTAAAAAGTTCACGATATAAACAGTTTGGCAAAAGCACACTTCCCCAAATTCATTTGTGGATCTGGGAGTGTGAAATAAAATAACCAAGATAGCTGAACCAAAAACGAGGAAAGAACTATGATACCTCAGGGATCCCAATGTTTTGGGCTACAAGGAAGTGGTAAACTAAGATCTACTTAGATGAAAATTATTTTACATTTGTCCTAGGCTATCCAAATAACATGAGATTTATTTATCTGTAACTTACTTCCCTTTTACCATATAAAAATATTTTACACTCTTTAAAATAGCTCACTGTGTGGGCTGACTTCTGACAACTGGATCCCAGGGATATAGCATGAGAACTGAGGAGGGAAAACGCTCTGAATTTTAGGGGATGGTTTTATCTATCTAAGCAAAGACTTTGATGGGAAGTCTTTGCTAGAGCATTTAGCTGGGGACACAATATTCTTGTATTATACCTCTTATGGAGTAAACTATGAAATTCAGTCACTACTGCCTCCAACGGAGGATAGAATGAAGAGAGACAAGCCTAAATGTCAACCTGTTAAAAGATAAAATACATTACACGTTTGGTCAACAGTAAGCTCATAAGATAATACATACAAAATGAGGGAAAGTTCTTAACTGGGACCTAAATGAAAACTAGAAACATTTATTATGAGTTATTCAACGTAAAGTTTTGGAGGATTTGCCAACTATTATCTCACATTCAATGTGTGGCTTCTTCAGACTGCAAATTCCTATTTCATATTATTATGTATTATATTAGACTTTACAGGTCATATGCCAGGTTGTGCTGTTTTGGATAACAGTCTTGACTACAAACGCCACTTTATTTATTTTAAGACCACGAGCCTATCAAATCCTATGTCTGATGTCATTAGGATATCTTTTTCAAGGGCATGTGTGGGTGCCAGACGTGGAGACTTACACAGTTGTCAAACCTCTTTCTGACATACTTACTTATTTGTAACCCTACTTCTCCCTTTAAAGTCTTTAACAAACTGTTACATTGCAGGCTGTGCATGTCAATGGAAAATGTCCACAAAAAGCAATGACCTAATTTGGAGCTGCAGTACTGTAACTATAAGGAAATAGCATGCCTGTGCATGTTTAAGTTGTGCTGTAAAAAAACAGATATAATTCAAAGATAATATACAAATTATCATGGGCTAACAAGCACAAGAAAAGATGATGAATATCACTAAACACCAGAGAAACACAAGTCAAAACCACAATGAGATATCACCTCACCCCCATTAGGATAGCTACTTTAAAAAAACAACCAAAAAACCAGAAAATAACAAGGTTGGTAAGGATGTGAGGAAACTGGAACCCTTGTACACTGTTGGTAGGATTGTACAAGGGTACAACTGCTCTGGAAAATAGTATAGAGGTTCCTCAAAAAATTACCATATCAAAGAAAAGAAAAAAAAATTACCATATCATCTAGCAATCTCACTTCTGGGGATATATCCAAAAGAAGTGAAAGCAAGGTCTCAAAGAGATATTTGTATACTCATATTCACAGAAGCATTATTCACAATAGCTGAATAATGTGATTTGGAAGCAAACCAATGTCCATCAATTGATGACTAAATAAACAAAATGTGATATATACATATAATGGAATATTATTCAGACCTAAAAAGGAATTGTGTCACATACTGTAACATGGATGAACCCTGAGGACATTATGCTAACTGCAATAAGCCAGTATCAAAAAGACATATACTCCATGATTCTATTTATATGAGGTATCTAACATATGAGGTCAAATTGGTAGAAACAGAAAATAGAATAGTGGTTACAAGGGGCTGGGTGGAGGGAAGAGAGGGGAGCTATTGTTTAATGGGTATAGAGTTTTAGATTTGCAAAATGAAAAAGTTCTGGAGATGTTTTATAATAGTATGAATATACTTAACGCTACCAAACTATATACTTAAAAACGGCAAGGTACTAAATTTTGTGTTTTCACTATCACCATAACAAAAAAATAAGTGAAATTACTTTTAGTTTCACCTGAGACACAGTGGTGAAAGCAATTTGGTCTTTATGCTACTTTCCTACTGGTTTTAGATATCAGGATAAAAGTCTGTAAGCCTTTCAAAATATTTTCAATTGTTCCATTAATCAAACGTGTCATGTGCTCAGTGCTGTATAGAACACATACGTCATCTGTTATCTGGCATTGTACCAAAACTGTTTATTTCCTAATAGACTATAAACTATGTTCATAACTATGGAAAATAAATTATCACATTAAGGACAACTTATAAACATTCCATATTCCAGTGTAGTGTTTTCTTAAGTAGCCTGCCTAACTTCATCTGAAATAAGCTAAAAATAAAAGGGGCAAGCAACTCTGCTACATAAGTTTGTCTTTTAGAATTGAAGCCAGATGAAAGTAAAGACAAAATTACAAGTAAGTAATTAGCCCCATATAGGATCCCCTACTATAACATGCATCACCTTATAATTTTATATTTCTTTCACCCCACGTAAAAGCAGTGGTTCTTAAACTCTTTTGATTTACAACTCTATGACATAACAGAGTCACAAAATACTGTGTGTACATGCATTTCGTATAATTTGATTCCTAGGGTAGTATGTGACCCAAAGAAATACTGAGATCTGTAACTCTAGACACATTTAGATAAAACACATCCAGGTGTAAATAGTATTGTAGAGCTCCCTCCCACCGCCAGCCCTGTAGGTCCCAGCCTCCCCAGTGCTATCAGCAGCATGGACTTCCTTCTCTTCCTCCTCCTCCATTCTGTAAGACCCTTCAGACCAAATGTACTCTCTCCTCAGGCTGCAAACTCTAACCAATCACTGGAGTGCCATTGGCCCTCAGGGCCTGGGTCTCCTTGGGGGATCAATAAATGTCAGTTCCCTTTCTCTTCTCCAGCCCATACCACAACCAGAGCTTAGGCTAGGCCATGGCACAGCAAAGGAACCGATAGTTCCTGTGAGTGAGGGTATGGGGTGGGAGACTCCACCCAAGGCCAGGAAGCAGGGCCCACCCTCTGGCTGCACCAGCCACTGAGGCTGGGGGGTTTATGGCTGCAAAAAGGGTTGAAGTTTCCTTCTCCTGGCTTTTAAACATACAGGAAGGAGACACAAGTAGTTAACCTGAAGAACAAAAACTAATACTTCAAAATAGAACAAAAATAAGAAAATAGTATTGTAGGTTCAAGAGAATTCCAAGTATTAAAGAAAAGGGATGAATGTCCTAACCCTGAGGATATTTCTGAAGGAAGAGAATACTGTTTCACTGTCAGTGCTGAAGGTTTTCCATGAACTTGGGTTAACCCCTGACCTACAAGGTAGGAGGAAGTTTGACTTGTCTTTTTATCCCCAGTGCCCAGCATATCAAGCTTGACATATAGTAAGTAGGCTCTTAACAGATGTTTACTGAATAAAGCTGAATGGTGCCCTAACTGAAACTGAAGCAGCCTATGGTAAAATAACACACTGTGCTGTCTCCAGAATATGTACGAGTTACGTACATTGTGCCCTGAGGAAGGTATTTGTGCAAAGTATACCAGTTTTCTTACCTAGAGCTGGATAAATGGAATGGGCTGAATTTCCACAGGACTTATAGTTTTCTCTCCTTTATTTCAAAATGCCTACTTCGGGGGAGGTAAATTACAGATTACAGTAAAGCCCTGGCAACCACTGTAGAGGAAATACTTTTCTTTTGTATTTCAGTGAATAACATCAATAGTCTTCCAAACTGAGCATGATGTCTTGAGAACAGCAGTTGAGTTAATCACTTTTGTTTACATTTTTTTTCTTGAGAACAGCAATACTTAATCACTTTTGTTTACTTTTTGCAAAATGTTTTGAAACACCATTCTCACCTCCTGTTCTACAGCCTTCAGAGGTTCAGGACTATTGCTGACCTGGGAAGAGGAAAAGATTATAAAAGAAAAAAATTATGTATTTACTAGGTGTTAACATATTTGTATCTTTGGCTTGTACTGTCTCTCAGGATACAAGATCTATCTACTTATTATCTAACTATGTTTAAAATGAGGGTTTCAGCGTTTGGTTTGGTTTTGACTTAAAATCACCTCCTTTAAAACTTTATTTTAGGTGATAGATACCATGGTTCAGAAGCCACCACTTGGATCAGTGTCTTACCTTACACTTTTCGTTAAGTAATAACCCTTTTTTCTACTTACACAACTCTGTGAACTCCTCCTTACATTTATTCCACTCACTTTGAATATTTAACATACTAAATATTGCTGTGTAGTATACTTGGAAATGTTTACCACACCCCCTTTTATCCCCCCATTATTTCTTAAACTGTTAGGTAACACTTAATGATCGAAGGGTGACCAAGATTCAAATCCTTTTTACACAAACATCTATTTATTCATATTCTTTATTTCTATCTGTACATTCTCCTTCAGTGAGACAAAAGTGTTTCTCTTACACATAAAGCAACCTCAAATTTTAAATACTCTTGGTCTAGAAATTTAACAGTCTTTTTGAAAGATTAAAATACAGCTGCTAGCTCTTAGTTAATTCCCTCAAAAAACCACAGATTAGCAAGGCATGATTCACTATGGAAACCAGATTGCCTCTCCCTTAATAGATGGGTTTTTTTTCTAGCTTTATTGAGGTATAACTGAAAAAATGGTATATGGTTAAGGTGTACAACTTGATGCTTTGATATATGTAAACACTGTGAAACTATGGCCACAATCAAGCCAATTAACATATCCAGTACCTCAAATGGTTACCTTTTTTTGGTAAGAGCACTTAATGCTTGTTTACATAACGTTTGATCTTTAATTCTGGATTCTTATCTTTTAACCATTCTCAACTATTCATTTCATCAAAAATTAGGTAAAAAATTAGGTAACTCTATATAAAAGTACAAAAATTGTCAAAATTCATTGGTAAATGAAAAAAAAAGCAAAATGCAGGAAATACTTAGGGAATAAGCCCATTTATCTTAAAAAGTCATTATGAGTATGTGTTATCTATCTGTCTGTGTAAAGAAAAAGGTCTGAAGGATATATCAACTAAAATACTGGGAGAAGGAATTGAATTTAGGAATGGAGAATGTTTCTATTTTGCTCTATATCCTTCAGTATTATTAAAAATTGTGAAACTGAATTAATATTGCTTTTTAAAAGAAATTATTAATCCTATTTTATAAAATATTTGGATTCTAAATACTTAACAACATTTCTTGTACACAGCATTACCCCTGACGCAAAGAGCATGAATATATATTTCTGAATGCAAAAAAGCAAAGTAGTTTTTCAACAAAAAAATATTTAAAACAATTTTTTCCTATTCTAAAAGCTTGTTTAAACATTAAACTTCAATAAGTATTTAATAAACACCTATGTGCCAATTTCTTCAGAAGAAGCAACATCCAAAATATAAGTTTTAAACACTTATATTTTCAGTGTTGTTTATTTAGATTTTTACCAATTTTTATTCTCAACATACATAAGCATCTTGGTCAACATACAACACAATAAATATGCCAAAAAGAAAAAAACTCACATAAATATTCACTACAAAGAACTAATTCCATTCCCCCTTTTCTAAGAAAAGTTTAAAAGGGGAAAAAGTACAAAAAGATTGAAACAACTAAATCTTTACCCATTTTTCCTCTCAAATCCTAATGGTCAACTGTGGGTGGGGTTCTTTAAGTTATCAAATGAGGGTATATGTGAGGACAAAAGTTTATAAACAAAAATTGAGGTTATAGTACAAATTCCTTATCTACTGTCACAAGCAAAAACAATATAAAATACAATACATAAACCATTTTTCTTAAAATTCTACTTTTTTTTACCCTATTGTAAACACCAATACAAAAATCTAAAAGGAGGTAATATTGAGTATAAACTAATGGAAAAACCCAACATGTTTATCAGCTAGCCACCAAAAAAACCAAAAACAAAACAAAAAAACAAAACAAAACCCAACATTAGCATCAAAGAAAGAGAGGACCCAGAAGCAATCACATCCTATGTAATAAATACACTTAGTGAATAGATCTTGCTTCCTAATTAGCACTCTCCAAAAACATAAACTAGGCTTTCTTGGAGAAGTGGTTGATTTTGCTTGACTGTGGCAGAGAAAATACAAGAGCTTGGAGCATCTTATGGTACAGTAAAGAAGGAAGGAAATACTCAAAAAAGGATGGGGCATGTCAAAAGAGTACAGGAATCAACCTGCAAGAGCCCCCAAAGTCCAAAGCTAAACAATGAGAAACCAAAGAAATGATAAGATTGGATAGCCCACAGGATAAAACATATATCCACTCAGTCTAAACTGAAAGGGAAGGAGTGATGGAGGAAGAGGACATCTCTTCCTTATAGAAGAATTCAAATTAACAAATGTAAAAAGATGAAGAAAATAAAAAATAATCATTAGTAATATTTTACTAATAATTGTTGTAGGCAAGATCCACTGATGAATGCTAAAAGCAGTGGATGAACGTTTGAGGAGAAACAGGTCAAACATGTATACTTTGCAGTGTCAAAGTATATGCACCAAATTATTTTTTAAATATAAAAGGAAAAACAGTAACTTTACAGTGGAGAAATCAATACACACCAGCTGAACTAAGTGATCAAAGTTACATTACCACTAATAAGACATGTCAACATTATTTACTTCCTGATATAACACATTAAGAAAAGCCATAAGGCTTCTGTGGTATGCTAAAAATGTATAACCTCAATCTAATCATGACAAATTATCAAAGAAGCCCAAATGTAGAGACATTCTACAAAATAAGTAACCAGTACTCTTCAGAAGTCTGAAGGTCATGAAAGACAAGAAAAGACTAAGGAATTATCACACGTTACAAGAGACTGAGGAAACATGACGACGAAATGCAATGTGGGATCCTGGATTGGATCCTGGAACAGAAAAAGGACATTGGTGGAAAAACTGGCAAAATCCGAGTACAAGTCTATGGTTTAGCTAATAGTATTGTACCAATGTTAATTTCTTAGTTTTGTTAATTAGTATGCTGTATTAGTCCGTTTTTTGATGCTATAACAGAATACCTGATACTGGGTGATTTATAAAGAAAATAAAATTTATTGTTTACAGCTTCTGAGGCTGGGAAATCCAAAGTCCATCTGGTGGTGGCGACAGTGACCCAGGGGTCTCACATTGCGAGATGGTAGAAGCAAAAAGAGCAGAGAGAGAGAGCAAGACAGACTCTCCTCTTTTTTTAAAGCCCTCAGAACCACACCCTTGACTACCATTTTTAATTCATTCACTACTGCACGGTCCTACAATCCAATATCTTTAAGGTTCCACCTTTCAATTAATAGGACTTCGCACCCTCTTAACAGTCCCAGTGGGGGCTAAGTTTCTAATACATAAAACTTGGGGGACACAATTCAAGCTTCAGGGAGTTTTGGGGGGACAATTCAATCCACTATATATGGTTAGTTTACATTGGAGGAAGCTGGGTAGAGGGTATATGTGAACTCTGTACTATTTTTATAACTTTCCTATAAATCTAAAATTACTTCAAAATAAAAAGTTTTCTGGGGGCTGGCCTGTGGCTTACTGGGGAGAGTGTGGTGCTGACAACACCAAGTCAAGGGTTAAGATCCCCTTACTGGTCATCTTTTAAAATTTAAAAAAAAAAGTTTTTTTCAGGTCCAGCCAAGATGGTGGAATAGATGGTCCTAGCATCACTCTCTCCCACAAATCAACCAATTTACAACTATAAAAATGTAACAGCAGCCAAACTGGGGCCACTGGAGCTTACGGGAAGAGGAGGAGAGACCTATGGAGTTCACGAAGGTGGGAGAAGCCACAATGAGAGATTTAAAAAACTGCTTGGAGCGTTTTGGGCTGTGGCCACTTTAAGGCTGGTTCGGCTGAGCGCATGGAGCAGGAGCCAGCAGAAGCCGCAGCTGTGCCCTTCAGATGGAGTTGCTTGGAGGTGGCAGGGGAGAAGAGGGCCTTGGCGGCTCCCAGGACAGCAAGACCACTAATAGGGTTCCTGTGGACCCACACAGGAGCAAAGAGCCAGAACAGCTGAAAAAGGAGAACCATTCAGAGGCTAGTAAGTCATCGCAAGGGACTGGTGCATGGCCCGTCCCATGGGAAATGTTTGGAGCATGGGCAGTGGGGGAGATGGGCCTACTGGGAGAACAATGGGACACAGCAAGGACAGCTGATCTGCCCCCAATCAGCACAGGGCCACTTAGAGGAGACTGGTCAGGAATGCAGAATTGCACGGGGTGCAGTTTGATAAAAAAAACTCAGGCCCAGATCAGAGTTTCTACACAACCCAGGTACACCGGGTCTCAGGAGAGCCAGAAGTACCTATAAAGTCAACCATTAAACCCCGAGCTGCACAAAAAGCCTTCCCTAGAGAAACAGCAGCAAAGCATCAATTTTGCTCAACTACACAGCTCAACTTCTGGTTCCCACAGGAAGTTCCCCAGTTTTAGAAGTAAGCAAAGGACAAAAAGTTAGTTCCGGCCCAGGCACACCACCAGCACCAAGGAGCATGCCAAAAACATCACTTCCATGTGGGTGGCCCATCACAGCCACCACAGTAACCATGGCTGCTGCGAAAGCGGCTAGACATCACAACTATCACACAGATGGTCCACCAGCCACTGGAGTACATTGACACAAGGAGAGTCACCAGCAGAGACCAAAGAAGAGTATGTCTCTCTCCACAAAGCCCATTCCAGAGTGACAGAAGCATCATCTGCTCTATGATAATATTGGGGGACCCAAACACACCTCTCAGCATTGGACAGATCATCTAGGCAACAAATCAACAGAGTAACAATTACTCTTTCCGAAGAAGAGAAGAAATCCAGGGTTATCAGTGGTGAGATGGGGGAGGGAGAGAGAGATAGGGAGAGATCGGCCAAGGGGCATA